ATATTCTATTTATTAAACAAATGGAAATCACGCCATCAAAGTATGAAAAATTAGATCCTACATTTATGCCCCGACCTGCCGGATTCGAACCGACGCCAAGGATTAGGCTTTGGGGCTTTCCCCTTGTCAATCCTCACTCTTCCAACTGAGCTAAGGCCGGCTATAAAAACAGTACTTGTGCTACAAAAAACTAAATCATTGAAAAATGTAAAAACATGACAAAAAATGGCAAAAAATGGCAAAAAATATGTAAAATGCAAGGTTTCATGTATGACAAGGGGGTGTAAATGAACTGCAAATGAATGAACAAAAGCTATATTCGGCTTAATTCATTAAATGTAAAATTAAATGGACACTAGAATTTATTTAAATTCAATGAAACAATAGAATATAGTGTTCCCAACTCAATTATTATCAAAACAAACACAAATTAAAAACTTAGTTGATGGAAATCAAATGCATTAATAATTTTTAGATTGATGATTTCCTCACAAAAAAAAGTAAATTTTTCTTCATGGTGCAATATTTCTTTAAGACTCATTAAGCTTTAAAAATAAATATTATATTTAAAATTGTAACATATCGCCCAATTTTTATGACAAAAAACAATATCTAAATGAATTTCTAAGGTTTAAATTACAACATCTTCAATATTTTTGGTTATTGACTCGTCTTGATCCAAATATAATCGAGCAAACTGGCTTGTGCCCAAAAGAGTCTTAACAATCGAGCCAAAAAAAAGGTAACTTGCTTAGTTTGGTCATATTTGGGATTATCTTTTATATAATCATTTTGTTTTTTAATTAAACATTTTGCCTTCAAAAATTAAAAACACTAAAATTCAACCCATCGGTTGCCTTTTACTAACTCCTCCCGTTTCCATTGGCAGCAACTCTCAGCCCTCTTATTTCCTTTGGAAAAATCTCGCCAGCCACAAGATCTATCTTTTATTACTCCCCTTGGCACCAACATTGCCTACACAGTTTTTGTAGCTCTACTGATATAATCTCATCCCTTCGCTCGTAAATTTGAGAACATCTATATTGCTCATTAGGATTGATCGTTGTTTATATGCTATATGTAGTGTATCAATGACGGATTGTGTATGGAGGTATTGATGCTTAGAAATGCTAAAAAGAAGATGGCTTCGACACCCGAGGGTTTGTGTTGTTCGAAAGTCGAAAGGGATATGAAGACAAGCGGAATCATGTGGTGGATGAAGTTAGTAGAGAATTTGATGAGGTTTAAACTAAAGAGATGAAAAAAAGAGAAGCCAAAAAAAGAGGATGTCAGCGACTAACAAGTGAGCTAAAAATGAAGATGTCAAATACATAATTTATGGCTTATAACCAAAGCGACATTTTAACAAGTGAGCCAAACATAATTTATCAAGCCAACACAAACTATTAGCAAACATTGGGTATTTTTTTACAACCGTAGCCCAAAGTACACAAAAAACAGATAAGCAAATCTATTACGTCCATATATTAGTCAAACCGCCCATATATAAGTCAGACTCTATATATATATATATATATATATATATATATATATGGATACCAATTGGCCAAAATCACACTTAAGACAAAATCCAGCATTCTTAAAGGCTTTCATGGCTTGTTGCTTGCAAATGATGATGTTGGTTATAGTGGCATATTTGTACAGTACCAGAATGTATTCGGGTATCCTCAAGTTAACATGATAATTCATACAATTGATGCCATTCTAATAATCTTTTATTATTATTATTATTATTATTATTATCTTTGGTTGTTACAAACAGAATTTTAAAAAATTAGTGATAAATAAATTAAATTCAACCGGAAATATACCATCATAATTGAAAGGGGTCCATATCCTTGGCTAAGGCCTCGTTCAAAAGTCACGCCGCGGAACGAACATCATCGTGTTCGTTTTAAAAGGACAAAAATTAGCAATTCAATTTGGAAACATGCTGTGGGCATTCCCTCCACGGAACAGAACAATGACGGTTCTCAAATGAAGCCTTAGTTGATTATTGGCACAGTTCAAAAGAAGGGGAACTTAATACCAAAGAACTCTTTTAACACAAAGGTAGGTATTTATTTATGTTTTATTCAGTGAAAAGTGCATGAAAGAAAGCATTGAAGCCAAATTGCTTGATATTCTTTGAATATTTCTTAATGTATCTTAATTGTTTAAAAGAAATTCATGGCGAATCATGCCCATTTCACAACAAGTCTATATTATTATCTTTAAATAAAGATTCCCATTGGTATAATTTTGTTTTATTTACATTTTTATTATATAAAAAACATTAAATAAAGATAATCAAATCTCAAATTTGTTCTCTTATCAATTGAAGTGGCATAAATAAGATGTCGCTTTCATTTCAATCAGATTTCAAAGATTTGCATTAAAGCAAACTCACTCAAATTTTAAGCCTTGCTACTTCGACCCCAAATAATAAGAAAAGGAAAAACTAGGAAAATTTACATACATAGCACATAATTCTTATATATTTACATATCTCACACCTAAACTTTAATATTCACACATATAGCACTTTGGTGCTTGAAGCCAATATGCATGTTAAGGTGCATGTCACTTTTAAGCATATTTCACTTTTAAAGTGATAATAGTGTTATTTTTTATGTAATATTAAATATTTGAGTGCTATGTGTGTAAATATGAAATTTTAGGGGTAAGATATTTAAATACATAAGAATATAACTGCTGCCATGTATGTAAATGCCACATGCAAATAATGTGGTCTAGAGGATGAAGAACTTGGTCAAAGATTTATATAAATGATATTTTTTTTTATAAAAAGGCTTAGGTTGTCTTAATCAGGATAATTTCCGTACTATATATATCCTTTTTTTTTTTTGTATATACTACACACATCTCAAAGAAATCTACCTTTATTGATCCATCCTATTAAAATTTTGTTGTCCCAAAACACTTTACTAACCGTTGACCATTTTTTGAGAGTTGACCCACCAACATGTAAGAAACTAAAATGGTTTAATCCTAATAATATATGTGATTTGCCGATTATGAGATAAAATGACCATGCTAATTGGAGAGGATTCAAAGCTTAGAACAAAGCATTGATTTGCCCCTACACAATCAAAATCTTCACCTTAAGCTGCTGAGAGTGTCCACCATTATTAGACCGGACACGGTTCATAAATAGAATTAAGAACCAGGTGACATACTGAACCGGGTGATTATCATCTCCTCTCCTGATAGCCATGATTTGACCATGGCTCGTCTAAAAATTAAATATTTATTGTCTTGCTCCATTGTTCATTTAGTCCTCCTAATGTTCTCGCTCTTCATTTTTTATTTCATTTCAAAGCAAAATAGAATTGAAGTTGTTAGGCTGGCATGAATTATTATTAGGGGATAAATAACATACCTAGCAAATCAGAGGGATTGGAGATCAAGAATTCCCTTTTTGTGTAGAACCTGCAATAAAGTGAGTCTCTGTAAATAGAATATCAGCCAAAATGAATTATAACTGGAACAAAGCAACAAGATGGTTGTTACAGAACGAATGAAGAATTTCATTTTTATAGATTTTATATATATTAAATAGCTTGTCAAAAGAAAATCATGTGGCCGAAATAATTCTTTTGAAACAAGAATCAGTTATAATTTGATTAAATGATTGGGACATTTACCAACAAACCAAACATTTCTTTTGTGTATTTACATATATAATACTAAAACTTTCATATTTACATGTGTAACACACAAAAATGTTCACATTACATCAAAAATACCACCATCAATTGCTTCTTAAAGATAAAATTCATAGTTACATGCATAGATTTAAAACACCAAAGTACCAAAGTGATGTATTTATAAATATAAAAGTTTAGGGGTTACATATGTAAATACATGAGAATTGTGTGGTAAGTAAGTAAATTTCCCTAAAAAAATTTTAATAATCTTAGTGAAGGGAATCATAAGAAAAGATCATGCGGTTTGCATGACACTAATGATAGCCTGATATCATCTCTGTAAACAATCAGGGGATTTTCTTTGAAGCGTGAAACATTCATTCAATTATTTAGATCAAAAAAGCTAGTATTGTGTCCAAATGTGTCCATTCATCTCAAAAACAGGAAGCGTTTACTGACTCATAAATGTATGTATGATAAATCTACTAGTGGCTTCAAAATAATAAGAAACAACATCAACTTTGAATCACATGCTACCATTGGAGGTATAAGAATAACAATAAGTGATAACAATAATATGGCCTAAATTTAGAAGAGGCAAATTTTATATATTATGCATAACGACGATTAGGCTAAAAATAGCAATTAAAGGATTTGTTTTATTTGCAGGAGCATATAGAATTGCAACAGTAACATGGAAGGGTGGATGCACAAGGCTCTATAGAGTACGGCACCAACTGAGTTTATTTGCAGGGATGTTTAGCCACAATTTTGTTGGCCGAGTAGAAATGATAGAGTTGAAGAAACCAAGAAATCAAACCTTAGACTCCAAAGGAAATAACGATTTTTAAATAATCTGATAGTGTGAAATGCCAGTGCATTATTAGATGGGTACATTTGCATACATACCACATAAGTCTTATGTAGTTACATATCTAAGACCTAAACTTTCACATTTATATGTATAACACTCAAATTTTTAGCATCGCGTCATTAATATCACTATTCCTAACTTTTTATGTATAGGCCTATGATGTTAATGCGCTACAAAATGTAAATATGAAAGTTTAGGTGTTAGATAAATAAACACGTAAGAATTGTGTGGTGTGCAAACAAATTTCACTATTAGTTAATTATTACTCTCTTGTTATAAAACTATGGAATATTCTCAAAATTATTACTTTATTTACAGCCAGTCTAATAATTAATTGTAGACAATGTAGAATCCCAGTGGAAAACAAGCATTGGGTAACAGCAGAAAAAAGAACAAATACTTCAACTAAAATTTGCATTTTTAAGAGACACCCTCGTGGCAAATTTTCACTCAGAATTTATTAAAAAAAGGCCAAGATAAGCCAGAGAAAAAAAGGCGGTTTACCACCTAAATATTAAATTAATGGAGTAATTCCGTGTCAGTTTGTACAAATATTTTCAAGTAACTAACAGCCCCAAACATAAAAAAGACAGACCGTTGACCTTGTGAAAGAACTGTCATCAGCTAAACGAGACATCATCAACAGTGGGCAGCAGCATGATGAGAGAGAACCATCCGCTTTTCCGTGATGATAGTTACCTGAGAGAGCAGATGATCAAACTTAACTGATTAGCAAATAAACTACAGCCAAACTTCAAAAAAAAAAATGATTTACATATATACCACTTAATTCCTATGTATTTACATATCTAACACTTAAGTTTTAGTTGAGACATATATGTCACCTTGCGTAGGAATTGGGCCCCAAAAAAAATCTCTCAAGGCAGGCAAGTACACATTACAACAAGATGAAATATAAACTTGGGGCATTTACATACATACCATAGTGCTTACGTATTTACATATCTAAAATCTAAAGTTTGATATTTACACTTATAGCACTTTGGTGTTAAAACTTAGTTACGAAAATGAGTGTTCCGCATTTAAAAAGTTAATATTAGAGATATTTTTTATGAAATTTTAAAGATTTGTGTGGCATGGCATGTATGTAAATATGAAGTTTCGGTGTTAGTTATGCAAATATATAAGAACGGTGCGGTACGGATCTATAAACTTTAGCAACTGAAAAAAAATTGAAAACAAAGCCTTAAGGTGAAGCAGGAAACGTATTATCCATAAGAATGGCAAATATTTGACAATTTTCTGATGATATTTATCTCTGAAAATAAAATTTTATGCAATTCAAAATTTTGTCATAATTGAATATGTTCATATGGCTTGTAGACAATGAAGAGCAAAAAACTAATGAAAGAAAAGTAGACCAGAAACAGAAGCTGTTGCATCATTTACAGCACAGCTGGTGAAAAAACTATTAGATCGCAGTCAAGACACAACAGCAGCAACCGAGTGAATTCATAAAGCCTAATAAGATAACTAAATCTGACGAAAAAAACCGTTCAATTACATTGCAAAAACACGCCATAAAGCACATCTCACATAATTCTTACCTACTGGAGTTAATAGAACATGACAACAATGATCCAAAATTGTGCAGGAGCTTCTTAAGATGGCCTTCAAAATAAATCCCAAAGGATGCTAGCTTCAAAGGATATCCTTCAAGGATGCCAACTTCAAAACAAAACCTTCAAGTAATATGCAACTTTTCAACACTTGTCAGGTAGGTTTACAGCATCCTGCATTCCCAGAGCCGATCAAATCTCATCATTGCAAGTCCTTTGCCAGAAAAAACATCAATCATAAACTACTTTGATGCTCAAATATGTTACAGTTAGAACAATTTTTCAATCTTCTGATTAGAAATTAAAAGCAATGCATTCTAACAAAATCAACTAAAGCAGTCAGATGGCTTACATTTTCTACAATAACTACAAGCTATACATAAATGAAAATAGAGAAACGTAAAAAACCTGAATTCTAAATACAAAGGATGGATATCATTGTCCATTAGGACCGCAGACTTAGTCAAACAATGAGGACCAAAGAAACGGGGGCATATCAGTTAAAAACTTCATATGGTTGAAAATCAACCGCAAAGCAATCACATATGGTGCAAAAATTGGTCACCTTGGCAATTTATTTTGAAGCCAAAAAGAATAATCAACCATGCTTCCAGCAAAAGTTTTCATGAGATCTATGTTGGCAAAAAAGCAAAAAGAAGGAAAAAAGACTTGCACTATTAATAGTTCCTTGCTGACAGTAATAACACCATAAAGGAAAATTTTGATTAAAAATTAAGATGTTCTAAAGTCATATTGAGAGAGGCCAGTCCATTGAATCAATGAGTGAATTAGACTATAACATCTGCCATGAGATATGCGTTGACTAGAAATTGAAGCAGCCCATCTATGTTCATGTGACTAATATATATGGTTAGTGTGGCCAAGATTTAAATCACATGAAAACAAGATACATTATGAGCTATTTACTTTAAAACAGCTTTGTGAACATCTAAGAAAAACAGTAAATAAATAGCCAAGATAAAGAACGGTACATCCAGAAATCCAAACTATACCAAAGTAAAATTCAGCCCAAATCTTCTACATGCTTAGAGCTTTGATGGGCATGCATGAAATAAAAATGTAGCAATTGCTAGACTCTTATAGGTGAAACTAAATGCCATAAAAAGTGGATCATGATCAACGAGCCTACAGATATCAGGCAATCTGTGTATTCGCAATAAGAAGCAGAGGAAACAGCCAATCAGCTAACATACAATTCTCAACCATTGCCTTTATATACATTTGAATAGAAAAATACTATAACATAGTTCGGACTCAGAAATTCAAGTTCAAAACATGGAATATTTTGGGTTGAACATTAAAAATGCCACCGAGTCTGATTTAGAAAACAAAATGATACAAACCTCCAATCAAAGAACTACCGTGTCTAGTTTTAATAAAAATCAATAAAAGCAAATATAGTAATAGCATTCAGCTAGAGTCAGCACATTTCATGAGCCAAAATGTTGTATTAATACACATTTCAAACAGTGAAAAATGAAAAGATAATTTGACATTTACCTGAGAAAAAAAAATGTAAAAACTGGCAAGTTAACTTTAGATAGTTGAGGTTATACGAAACTCATTGAATAAGTTCCAAATTAAACATATGAGGAAATGTTACACCAAATAAGAAATCACATGTTTTTGGACATATATTGCGCCAGACATACAGTTTGAGTAGACGTGAAAATAAGAATTTGGTATCAATTTTTTTATAACTGCATTGCAGGGTCTACATTATGAAAGCTGAAAGACGAGTGAAAATATTTTACAACATATTTTAACTCCTACCTACATCGTTTCATCCTAATAACCATACTATATGACATTTTCTAGGACATGGTAAGTGCTGAAATTTTTATGAAAGAAAAATCCTTGTGTCACATATAAAGAGAAAAAAAATATATATGTATACTATCAATTAACAGAATCATCATCAATAGTCGTATCCCAACAGATTGAGGTATGCTAAATCTAGTCTGCATCAATCGTTTTGCAAAATTTTTATACATGGTTTCTACGGACCACCCTTTTTCCTTGCTAAATCTTTCAACGCTAAGTTTACCTTCATGCCTTACTAGTGCATATTCCACAATTAGCTGTACACGTTTAAATTATAAAAATTTTTAATTTCGAAAATTACATATATACACCACAAAATTCATATATATTTATCTCTAACACTTAAATTTAATATTTACATTTATAACACCTTGGTGCTATAAGCCTATGAATAAAAAGGTACATTTAACTTTTAAAAAGTAACTAAAAATGATATTTTTATGTTCTATTAAAGATTTAAGTGTTATGAATGTAAATGTTAAATTTTAAGCATTAGATATTGAAAAAACATAAGAATTGTGCGATATGTATGTAAATGTTCCTTTTAATTCTCGTGACATTCACTAGCCTTGTTATTCATGTCCAACTTATAATAAATAGGTAAGAACACAGACAAGGCCTTTTACCATGTCAATGAACTCTAGCTCCAGAACCATCCTGGAAGATACGATTAAGTTACCGTAAACTCACGGTTGTCACACAAAAAGGTTCTCATTTCAACATTGTTAGTTATTAATCAGCTCTGCTGCATTTGATGCAGGAATTTGAATGAAAGAAAATTATTTAAAAAAAAAAAAGCAAAACTTCATACTAAGGCTGCGGTCATAATCCCGCCACACATTATTGAGATTTAATTTCATTCCCATCAAATTCCTACTTCAACAAAGCCTTGTGATTCATTTGGCAAACATTACCATGTGTAACACAACTATAAAATTGGCTTTTATTAATCGTCCCATGATTTTGTAATTATACCTCGTAACAAATACAGCTTCAACAGTCAAAACTATCCCCGGTAACCATAGCACCAAGGGCACCAAAATTAAACTTGTGGGTAGTCACAACAATAAAATAGATTTTATTAAACATTTATAATTAATTTCATGGTTTATACACGGAATGCATTACCAAATACCAAATAACAAAAGCCTTCTCAATTCTACATATGAAAGAAACAGAAATGCCCTTTTGGTTATACCCTCTAAAACAAGTACTAACTATGAAAGTTTTATCAGTAAGATCATCGAGCAATGAAAGCATAAAAATGATCAGAAAAACAATCAACCTACTCAACAACTCTAGCGAATTGAACAAACAATGTTTATGAATAAGAAGAGAGAACAACATTTAACTAAATAAAATGGATATAACGAACATCCCATTTGCATTTAAAAAAATAATGGCTCATGTACTAAATCATACCTTAAAAATTAATTACGACCAACCCCATGCATTCTCCTCAACTGTTGCAAAGGGATACGAACATTGAACAGCAGATCATGCTTTTTCTAGTTCATTGATCCCCGGCACCTACAGGGAAAAAAAAAAAACATAAAACATCATTTTCAATAAGAGATGATGATGCCAAATCCATGCAACAATATTTTAGTTCATTGATCACTGGCACATAAAGGAATAATACATAAAACATCAGTTTTGTCCTCTCACTCAATCCAAACCATAAAAAAATATTGTTGTCCACAACAAAAGAATCAAACACACAAGTTGCATGTCCTTTGTTGGCACCATAAAAACGACCAGTATACCATAAAAATATTCCAAAAACTATTTAATCATAAAACCGAGGGGTTGCTTGAAAGTTTTGATATTCTTAAAAAGGTGTTATTGTTTATTTTGTATTGCAAATTGCATGATGTGATAATGGCCCAGACATTATGGCATCAGTGTAAGCATCCCTCGACTTGGCCATTGCCTTAATGTGTGCCAAAACTCTTAGCCTCACCAACTTAAGCACTGGCTGCACCGCCACTACCATCCATAACCTTCACTTCCTTTTAGGACGTCGAGCATTGTCACCAACAAAGATCTTTTCTTCATTTCAGAGTTGTTGGACCATCAAAGATCTCTTCTTCATAAAACTCTCTTCTTAATTTCAGAGTTGTTGATCCAGCACAGATCTCTTCTTCATTTCAGAGTTGTCGACCCTCCAGTTGGCATGCTACCGCTGATACGAAAGCACGCTCTTGTTCACTTGGGAACTAGAACTAAACACCATTATATTGGAGAAGAAATTGTGGAGGTGTTTCCCTGTGATGAGATGTACAAGGAGAGCGGAAATAGAGCTCAAAAGGGGAAGAAGAATTGTGGAGATGATTGGGACCTAGACATTTCATTAGAGACATGGGGTAATAATACAGAATAAATGGGGTTAATTTCATCATTTTATTTTTGCAGAATCGAAAATCAAGTTTGTGCCACAAAAAATTTTAAAACAGAGCCATAATATTATGCTCAAAACAATGATTCGGTTGCATTTCATAAAGCAAAGCAGCAGAGAAGCATTACAAAATGGACCCTTAATTTGGAAGCAAACCAGGATGACCCCGTTTGATCAATTTCATTTCCATGGACCATGACACTTTAAAGATGAAAAGACTTTAGTGTTGAATTTAAATTTTTCTTAAAATATTGCTGGATCATTTCATACATTTCTTTACAGTTAGTATTGCTACACTGCAACCAAGTGTATCTTTATCTTCTTGAGAAACAAATACTTCATAGGTGCGTTTTTTATCATTGTATGCACCTGAAAGTTCTTTAGATTAATTCAAAAACAAGTTGCTTTATTTATTTATTTTTAAAAAAACTAAAAATATAAAGCAAACATATTTATTGAAAAAAAAACAAAAAATCAAAGCAAAAGGTGATCCTCAACAGTCCCTAAATCTTAAGCACGTGATGCTTATATAAAAGTTGCTTCTGCACAAGCATTATTGCAACCAGAGAAAAAGACATGAGATGCTTCATTGCTAATATCATCTATGTGATTAAATTCATCCAAGATGTCTTCAATCATCCATTAGCTATTAAAGGTAATTTGCTTTTGAATGTAGACCTGAAAACAAACCATAAAATATATAGAAAGGTATGAACACAGATGTCATATATATTCTGCCAACTAAACACACCAAATACAGAAAGGTATCAACACATACTGGTTTGTCCCCCTCCTAGTTGGCTTGAGATCAATTTTGATGGAATTTTATGTTCATCTCACTTGGGTACTATTGGTGTTCTTGTTAGAGATGAAGTGGTTGAGTGTCTTGTTGCAACTGGAGCAAAATTTGAACACTGGGAAATTGCCCAAGTTGAGCTACAAGCTATTCTTTGCATAAAGAAGATTATTAACGCTTAGATGTATGAAATCAAAAAAATTATTATTGACTTCCTCAGGCAAAACATGAATAACCAAGTTTGGCATAACAAAACTGAAGACATTCAGAATTTTGCTTTTCTTTCTAAGCTTAAGCAAGTCGTTTTTCTGCTTGAACTGCATAGGAGTCGTAGAAAGGCAGCACAATTTTTTGCTTAAATTGTCTTCAGGATAGTCTTGTCTGGACTGAGGGGTTCGATACGCATGCTTTATAAGGTTTTCTTTGTAAGGACAAGTCTACTCTCTGTAATAACTAGCAGCATATCTTTTGTATTTCGCTTTTGATTTAAGAAAAAGATTCTACACGGAACTTTCAGGAAAAAAAATAAAAAATCTGATCCGTGCCGTGACACTAAGAAGAATTAAAAATGCAAGGAAAACGCTTCAAAAATTACCCTTATAGATGAAATTTGACGAGATAATGAAATGCAGACACCGAAGTTTAATGTGATTTTAAAAACAGTATCATAAACCTTTCAACATAATAAATGCACCTCACCAAGCAGAGCAGAATACATTTATGAATACCTTTTGGAACCACAATTGCAGGGTATCTTTTGCTCTTCCAATGGAAATTTGTAGTTGTACGTAAGCTCTTCACCAGTAAATATATGCCGCTTTGCATAAATAAAGATCTTCTTTTGGCCATCAACAGTTATCACCTTAGTGTAACAATTTGGCTAGAAGGAAAACACAAATTAAAACCCCAAAGGTAACAAATGGCCTATCAAATGAGCACCAACTTAAGCTAACCTCGCATGAATGATTAATAAACCTTGCCAATCCTCCACGCCTGGTAGCATCAACCTGCATCATAAATATACATATCAATTACAACTCAACATCTATTGTTCTAAAAAATAGAACAGAAAGAACGAAAATTTATTAGTGGAAGAATTTAAACAAGAGACCAAATCACCCATCCTATAAAGTAGTTTTGACAAATGAAGTAATAAAAGCATTTCAATAAGTGTCCATCAATATCTTATCCAACAACAATACCAACAACAACTACAAACACGAATCCTTTTTCTCAATTGTATCCTATGGAGTGTCCTATTTTCATTTAATTCAAAAAGATTATGATCATTTTTTATACGACAAGACCTAGTCTTTTTAGGTCTACCTTTATCTTTCTTAGCATATGCCAAATTTAAAGCATCTATTCTCCTAACATCAAATGGTCGATGTTTAATGTGACCAAACCATCTAAGAAGACTCACTAATCTTGTCTGCCACTGATGCTACTCCAATCCTTTCATGGATATTCGTTTCGCATTTTGTCTCTAAGTGTAAAGCCACTCATCCACATAAGCATTCTCATCTGACCAACACTTAATTTTATGCTTCTATTTTACAAACCAGCATTCTGCAGCATTCTGCACCATAAAGCATTGCAGATCTCACCATATTATATAATCTTCCTTGAAATCTAAGTAGTACTTTTCTATCACATAATAGGCCTAATTCATTCCACCATTTCAACCATCCAAATTGATTTCTACTAATAGCATTCTCATCCATATCACAACACTTTGAACAACATACACAAGACAACTAAAATGTTCAGTCATTTTAATGACTTGAACACTCCTTATTACAGCCCACCACTAGATCTACTAATACTAAAAATACATTGGATGTATTCAGTTTAGATCTAATCAAAACAAAAGCCTATCAAAAAGAAAGCCTGTCAATCAATATCTTATCTTAAAACAAAAATAAATAAATAATAGAAGTGAGAAATGATACCATGAGGTATTAACAAGCTTCAAGGCTATAACATAAGTTTAGGCATAGACTGGAAAATTAGAGCTTCAATTTACTATTCTATGCCACTTTTATTACAATGATTGAATAAAAAATAGAAAAAATATTTAAAGCTGAGATACATGTAATTTTAGTGAACCAATCGATCAAACGCATACTAAAATACAACACAAACTTTAAACTCAAGCAATATTAAAAAGAACTGGTCAATCAACCTCAACATATCTGACACGTCTCAATAATTTTGATAACATTCAGCTTACATTTAACTAGGATGATTAAAAAAGGCTGCATTTATAAAAGGTTCCTCTTGAACATCAGGGTCATTGGCCTTAACCCACTCACTCAAACTCACTACAAATGCCCTCCTCAAAATCCTTTTAAATGAGCCACGATGATGGTTTCTTGTGCATCTATAATTTCTAGAACAGTTTCTAGCAAAACAATATGTGGCTGCTTATCACACTTTCATGTTTTATATATCCCTCCATTCAAATGGCCCCTTATATTTTCTTTAATGTTTTCAAATGGCAACAAAAATTATTTTTTGGAACTTTTTCCTCGTTTGGAAGATTCAACATTTTCTACAATTACTAGTTTCGGATATCATCGTTACCAAACCTTTCACCCCATCTCTTGCTGTGATAGCAAGTGAATTTTGAAGTTAATCTCAACTCCCAGTTTGTTGCTAACTTACCATGCTTAACAACAGATTTTTCTTCAAATGTCAATAAGTATAAATCATCAACAACAAATAATTAAGAACAAATTTCACTACAAAATTTGGGAAAAAAAAAGTGAGTCTCAAAAAAATTTAAGGTTTATATAATGAAAAGGGGTCTGAGAAAAAAGGTAAGAGTACATAGATAATCACAGAAATAATTTTTTTAATGAAGCTGCACAAATATTTCCCTCACCACATAACCATCATCCAGTCTGAATAGGTAACTGCTGCCTATACCCATCTTTTCATATCGAAGCTCCCGTATGTCAGATATCTTGTATGGAAAAAAATTTAGTAAAATATATATGTGATATGGAACAAATTGCAAAAAAAAGATGATATAAAATAAAAATTTACCCGACGACGAATTAATTCTCCAACATACTCGATCACAAAATCTTCTGCCTCAATTGGCTCAAGCGCAACAAGCCCCCAATCATGTATCTTGCTTCTTTGAAAACGTAAATGCTTCTTCCGTGCCTTTAAAAGAAAAGCAAAAAGAAGGCTGTAACTCAAAAATATTTATAAAAAAGGACATTAGGGTGCATGTCTCCGTAAAACCAAAAAAAAAAAAATACCTTTAATTGGGTGACTTTTAGAATTTCAGCACCTTCAGCAGCCGCTAAGAGATTGCGCAACTTGACCCTGTTTGTTCTTGCTGAAGGACCTTTACTATTAGGATTTTGATTTCCATTAGCATCAGGGTAAAAGGCACGAGGAATAACATCACGGTTTCCTCTCAAACGGGCCCTCTCTGAAGAGCGTTTCGTGACCATTGACGCCAGTCCCATCCATTGATAGAAGAGCGAGCACAGCCATCGGTCTTAGGGCATGGAACAACTAGCCTTGAAGGTTTAACTATCAGCCTGGATGCCCCCTTCTTGGTTCCTTTTTTAACCTTAATCTTCTTTGAAAGTTTTGGCACCTTAGGAGGGAGAGCTGACCGATCATCTGCTTTCCTTTTCAAACTCAAGTAGGCTTTTGCTGTTAACATGCAAAGATATTAAGAATGAACAAGTAGCCATAAGCCTGAGATTCAAAAAAATGATGGATCAAGAATTCATAAAATTATTATGAAAAACAATCCACACTAACAGTGGGAGATGCCAGAAGAAAGGGCTTCGGGCTTCTCAAAATCTATATGTATATAACTAGAATTTCCAATCTTCTTGACTTTATCTGAATCATCCTTAGAAGCTGAAAATTGTTCCAAATTGTGTTTAATATCATCAATTAAAATTTGCTCATCTGCAACAGGTGAAAACTCGTTATAAGATCCGTCCTCCATTGTGAATATTATTTTAGCATTGGTAAGTTCATGAAAAATACCATTCTGAATTTCACGGGCAATCTTCCTCAATTTATGTGGCTTTCTCCTAGTTAAACTGCAACCATCATGCAAATTATTTTGATTCATGGCAGGTAACGATAAAGAATCAATCACATCTGCATCTAACTCCTTCAATGCAGAATCCATATCATCACGTTGTGGCCAAGGTGAATCAGTTCCTACATGTGGCACCTGATTCATGGAGATGTCGCCCATTTTTTTAATCAATTCAAAGCTCTCAGGAAATGGTCCAGATGTTGGTTTGCTGTGTTTTCTCTTTCTAAAGTATGTCAGCTTCCCATTCAAGGAAACACCAGATGGCCTTGAACTTGAAATCTGCTGCAAACTTTCGCTCAGCATGTCTGTCTCCTCTGGTGGCTTGCAGCCATTCTGCTGTGCATCATACAGCATATCAGCATTGAATGAAGCAATATTCAAGTAGCAAAATTAAATCCATATTTTTTCATTTGCAAATTAAAATAGATTAACTCTTCAGAATTTGTGAAATTAAGATAGAGGGGGTCAACAGAGCAAGAGAAGCATACAGTATCCACTTCATGTCTTCTGAAATAGCCGCATGAAGTAAAACTTTCATGAAGAAAACTAACAAGGTGGGAAGATCTCCACTCTTTAAGAAATTCATCATGAAGCTTCTGCCTGCAAATAGCCAAAGCAACAAATTTGACAATTACAGTTATATCTTCATTGAGTCTTGATGGCCGGATTTTGCACTTAAACATAGTTGATGATGCAGTTGTAGCATTGGCTTCCACTCCAGGAGGCGTTAACTCATCATCAATCTCATCCTCCAACATATCTGCCATGGGAGGACCCATTCTTTCAAAAGCTTTTGCAAACTGTGTAGACAGAGAACTCTGTGTTTCTGTTCAAGATTGAAAGGGAAATATCACAAAGATTATCATTCACAATAATCATAGTCCATAAAGCAACTGAGGAATTAACAAAGTTTGTGACATTTTATACCAGTTGATTCTGCCAAATCAGCAGCAACATCAACAGAATTACAAAAATCAAATAGACAATGAGATGTGCTCGGATCATCTTTTACCTGAAATCATTTGAAACACACTTCCATTACAAAGCTTAAACAACAGCACACAAGCACTTAACAATTTGTACTTTCAGAAAAATCCCAGCCTTCTACAATAGTAAAGAGCAAAAAAAATAAAATTTAGAATATAGATTAAAAATAATTCTCAATCAACCCAATTCCCACTACTATAAAGTCTAGTAACACCCCTCCATATATTAGATATAAGACTAAGTATAGTAATATAAATTTAAAAGTGGCCTAAGGAAAGCTGTCGGTAATATGGAGTAATAGTACCTCCATTTGATCCACGTGTTCAGCCTCAAAAACAACCTGTTCACCAATTGTGAATTCATGCACCGAACTAATCATGACATCTTCATTAATGCTCGCCTAATCATTGGAAAGAGCCAATAGTCAATTATTATAAAAAAGGCTACTGGTAAAAAGATAGAAATATAAACTCATACATGAGATCAAACTAATCAAACTATAACAACAACAAGCCTTTATCCCACTAAATTTGGTCGGCTAAATGAATCATTTTCAACCATTGCGTCCTATTGAGTGTCATATTTTCATTTAATTCTGATAAATTAAGATCATTTCTTATACAATACGCCCAAGTTTTTTTAGGTCCGCATCTGCCTTAACATCAGTCCCATGTAAAACATATACACTCCTAACCGGATCATTAAATATGACCAAACCATCTAAGACAACTCTCTCTAGACTTGTCCGCCACTGGAGCTACACCAACCCTATCACGGATATATTCATTTCGCATTTTATCTCAAATTGTCAACTCAATCATCCACCTAAGCATTCTCATCCAACTAAGACACTCATCCACCTAAGCATTTTGTCTCCAAATGTCAACCCTATCACGGAAAAAACTAATCAAAATATGCATGTAAAAGTAAAAAAAGGCTTTACCTTATTAATTTTAGTTTCTGCTTCAAGACAAAGCATTTTTGTCAACTCCTCCTTTAATACATCTTCATAATACTCCAACAAGGATTTCTTTGCTGATACATAGAGTTCACTCTCTAGTTCTCCTTGAACTTCCTTCAGGATGATGGCAAACAAATTATTAAGATGAAGATCAATTTGTTTTGTCTGGACAGCTTCAGAATGTGAGTTGTCAGATGGAAAGCAAGTCAAAATATCTACATCTCTATTGTCAGGCCCAAATCCCGGGGGAAATTCCGTTTCGTTGTTGGATGTGTGTGGAATAGAATAAACCTAAATCAAATTCAGACGGTAAAATAGATCCCACCATATAAATAGACGAGGTACGTGATGCAATAAAAAAAACATACAATGTCAGCTGCTTCTGTAGTGCTTTTGTGGAAACCATCAATATTTCTGGCATCACCATCAATAGAAATACATCTGGCAGGCAAAACAGAATGATTAAACGATCGTTGTCTTTTCCGCCACATTGTGCAGTAGTCGGAAACAGCTTCAGACAAGACAGTGCTCCACAGGTCTTTCATGCTATCATAGTAAAATGTTTTGTACACCTCTAATAGTAACTCAGAAAAATTATTAATGGTGACTATAGACAAATCATCATTAGGACAATCTGCAGGAGTGATGGAAGGCATTTTTTGTTCATTCTTCACTAGCAAAGGATCGGTATGTCTGCCACGAACTGCAGAAGGCTTATTTTCAACAATGGTTTTGGACTGTAAAGGAACAAAAAAAATTAATTACTTTGTAAGACAGATGAATTTAACCAAAAATAACCATCAACTCTGTGCACATTCGTAAATGCGTTACCTTTTGCTCAGCAAGACTAGAATGCTGGACATCCTTGCCAGCTGATTCTATTCTGCGAAGTTTCCGAGTCTTCCTGGAAGCAGAAAACTCTGGAATAATGGCGCTAATTATTTCATCTATAAAAACACGACGAGCTGCTTTCAAAATCACAGAATGCAGCTCAACCGATACGTCTTCCGATATCTCAGATACAAATCTACTTAATGAACCAGAACTACTGTCGTTCGCATCTGCTTCAAAACCATTTTGAATTCTGCACCACTCTTCGACTAAAGTTAAAAGTGTAAATGGACCACACTTGCTATCTATGTGGTGTATCTGCAAGATATAAATCAATAATTGCCTTTTAACAGGAATAAATGCAGGAAAAGAAATAAACCTGCTGGTGGCACCTCACCATCAATGAATCATGAAGATAGCTACTGTTATGCCAATAATAAAGTTCTGCGAAGGAATGAGGTCCATGTTTTCTACCTTCCTCGTCTTCAAACATCCAATTTGACTCCTCACTTGAGATCAACTAATCATAGACCATCAGACACAGGAAAAACAATAAGTGCTGAATCATTTTCAACTAAAGCAGGATGGTATTTAAAAATAAATAATATTTTATTATGAAAGCTGAAAAAAATAAAGGATGATTAGTAGAAAACACAACAATACCGCTGAAAGACTTGACATTGCATGTTTTGTACTTCCAGTATTCAGATTTTGAGATCCACAAGAATGAGCACCAAGTGTGCCAGTTTGCTGGGCAACGGAATACTGCATATGCTCATCGTGTTTTGGATGCAAAGTGGACAAGCTAGAGGATGTGCCCTGACCACGAGACGCAGGGATGCAGACTGTTTGATCCATAGAAACATTTGGAGTTATGCTTAGAGAATTGACCGACCAACATGAATTAGAGTAGTGCTTTATATATTTCAAGTACACAGGATTGGACAGGGTTCCATTTATGACTGGATAAACTACAAGTTCCTCTGGCAGGAATCCTGTAGATAACCCCTCATCCAGCTGTCGTTCACTATAAGGGCCACAAAGTTGCCCAGTTTCATTCACATACATCCAGCCACTCACATAGGCCTGTTGAGAATATCCACCATGATTGTTATCATGACCTGCCATCGCGCCCCCGCCATAAGGCCAGGAAATGTCACTACTATTATTTGCGGACAACGAGCCCCCGTCCATTGCAACAGATGAGCCGAACTTCTCAGGTAGATAGCTGCTACATGAGGAACCACCATGCCCATCTGAGAACCTAGGCATAGAAATAATGCAGAAAATAGTAAAACTAAACTTCTTAGTATGAAAAATAGATTATAAGAATATTAACTTGCTTGAACAGAATACAGTGGCCATACCAATGTGAAGAGCTATATTCAGAGTTCCCATGAAAATCAATATCGCCATCAACTTCCATACATGAACTGGCTTCAGATTGAGTTAATTCAGGAGCTGACGAGTTGAGCCTTTTCCTCATAATGAATTTATGGCTATATTCATCTGAATATGTTCCTAAAGAATAGAACTCCTTATTGGTGCAATAGCCACGTAATAAACCAATTTCTTCACAAAACTCACTGCATGCCACCTGAATGGAAAATTATAAAAATTATAAGAACAGGATAACATAAACACTCAATAGATAATTTCAGGCATCAGAATAATCAACAAGCATGAAAAGTCACGTGACTTTCAATAAACAAAAATAGCAAGTTCATGCATATTTCATTAAAAGTTTATAGATGAGCAAATCGCCAGCCACGAGAGAGAACTAACAGATAATGCAGATAGAGAAGGAAATAAGCGGCCTTATGTAAGCCACATCCCCATAAATTCCTCCTATATGAACATAAGCCACTACCATGAAACATGAGTAACAATCCTGTACAAGTTGAATTCATGATAGTAGTTTTATCTTCTGGAGAAACAGACAGCCATCATTTCAAGCCTTGAATTCTTCTTATAAATATTAATATAGTATTTGAATAAATAGGAGAATCCAGGAAAAATACATATGCCATCTGAACATTTTTAAAAGATAATTCAAAATCGCCAAAAAATGATCAATGAAGGTATACAACAAACAAATATTGCAATTGATATTCGATAAGCGTTATTGATGAAGAACTAAATGGATTGTAAACTCGAAGAAAGAAAAATAATATGGCTAACATTTCAGCTGCAAGTAGCAAACATATAGAAGTAAAAAAAATTCAGGATATCCTGAAGCAATTTTGATGAAGACGTGGCATTTCTATTAACTTAAATAGCATGAAATTACTATATTTCAATTTGCACGCATTAAAAAACTAATGAATACGTTTGCTATAAAATTTATATAACAAAACGGCAAACAGTATAAATGCATTTATACGTAATCAATAGAACAAATGTCAGAGAAAAATAGACACCTCAATTTTTTTAGACCATCAAAATGAAAATTAGATCTGAACATCTTGAACCAATTTTCTCCCTAAAAGAATTGTTCAAGATAAAAGAACCATCAAAGCAGAAAGGGAAAAGATATAAATATGTCAACTAAAAAAAAAGAGTTACCATAACCAAGAAAATATCTACAAACTGATTCTTTTCAAGAAAATGGATGAAGAATTAAATGCCTAGATTCACTTACTTTATCCTCGATGATGTTTCTATTTTCGGTACTCGATACACCTCCAATTTTCGCATCAAAAGAATTGGTCATTTTGGACAAACGAGACATCTAGGAAATAGAATGAGACATCTAGGAAATAGAATAAGACATCCAAAAAAAGTAATATACTAAACCTAAGAAAGAGAAAAGGAAAACGGCAGATTTGCAGACTAATACAAGTTAGGGGATGATTCATTGATAAGGTCAATCTAATTAAAAAAAAAAACATAACTGATGTGTATTCTACATCAACCAATAGAAAAATTTGCAAAAGCTATGATGCTTCATGAAGAATGTAGACAATACAAAAATAGAACACCAACATCAGTAAAGAAAGAGATTAAAAAATGAAGAACACTAATGAAAATGAATTCAAAAAACATCTAGGCTCTATACAGGTCAGTAGATAGAATATGTCAATTAACATTTCCTCCTCCTCGATTCAGATTTGAAAATAAACGTCAATTTTAGGATCAGCATGCACGCCCTCTTTTCCATTTTTTTGTTCCATTCCCCTCCATCTCAAACTTCCACTAGAAAGACAAATTTTTGCATCCAAATATATGCATGCATGTTTGACAGGAAAATAAACTCTATTGAACTGACTAACCTGCACTATTTGGTGATAATAGTTGGGACTTCATTTACCCTGAATTGAAATACCGATACTAACAAAGTTATGAACACCGTGTCAAAAACAACTAATATTAAAAAACTATTTAGTTAGATGCATTATTGGTGAAAAAATAAAAGGTTTAAAGAGTTTTAGGCATTTCATATGAAGTAAAATTTTCAAGCATTTAAATATAACCAAAAAGACTTCTTCCGTGCAAAAAAAACTCACCCAATTAAGTTAAGTTACTTTACATCATCTCTCATTTCTCAATGAAATCTAGTCCTCCATCAATAAAGCTAAACCCTTGCCTTTGAAAACCTCGTCTCGTCATTCGCCTTCACAAATCACTATCTCGCATCTCCTCCACCCTTCCTATCCTTGCTTCAACCAGGCTTCATCTATGGAAGCTCTCTTACGGTCTAATACTGAATGCTTATGTCCACCTATCGAATGCCAATGCCACAAATGTCATCTCTATTGTTGAAGATCACCACCACAAGTTTGGAATGCAAGTTGAGCTCCATCAAAATGCTGTGGCACTCCTCGATACTCCTGGAGGATCCATCTCTTGCTTTTAAATCCACTTCATTCTTCCAAATATTGGCCACATTTAGCACAACCAGAGAAAGGTCTATCATCTAAACTAAACTTCATATCTGATGCTAATGGAAATGATAAAAAGTGATTGCTCGAACTCAATATGCTCGTGTGGAGGAAAATTAAATCAAGCCTCCTGATCAACTCAATTCATCTCTTTTTTTCATCAAGACTGTAATATAAATACATTCAGCCAAACAAAATCAAACATTTCATTGAATTTAAATTGTATCCTACCAAACACTAGAAAGTACAACATAATATAACTAGCTTGAGGTTTAAAATTACATCCCTTCATTTAATGGGAAATCATCTCTAAAATTTTATGGTAAATCAATTATTAGAAAAAGTGATTTATTTGAAAATTAACATTTGATTCAAATAAAACAAAAAAAAAAATAGTGAGGCATGCAAAATTACTATGGCTAAGTATTTCAACTACAATAAAATCGCCATCAAGCTTAAGAAAAAATATCAAACATTTTATAAACATCAGGATGAATTAAAAAGTAACTTTAAAATTGTAAGTATAAGTATTGCATGTGTTCAAGTATTATGCAAAGTTTACGTGCCTTTTAGCTACACATCAAAACTTAAAATTGTCCAATTGGATATTGAAGCATTTTTCTTCCATGAGGTGAAGCATTTTGAAGTTTAAGCCTTAAAAATAACAAACTACACAAAGTAAAATGTATTATACTAATTTAAAGATATGAAGAAATAACATATTAAAATAATAATTTATTAACACATTGAAAAATAGCATGTTTACATCTTAACACAATAAGAAGTAACAAATTGAGCAATGTAAGCAGTAACATGTCAACATCGTAACATCAAATCATGAAGTAAAAAAGGGTTATACACGTATCAAAACAAAGTAAGATATCAAAATAAAAATAATAACTGAACAATTCAAAGTTCAACGCAATTAATTTCTCACCCCCTAACTCCCACTATCCTCCACAAAAGTATGAAAATAATAGGCTACCAAAATTAAAATTTTTAAACTCAAATGTCCTCATCACTTTTATTACTCAATCATCATTAAAATCAATATAATGAATTATTTTCTCCACCGTCTTATTTTAAATTGTTTTCAATTTCACCCATTTCTCCTCATCTTCAATCTTAGATTTCTTCTTCTCTAATCCAATAATAAATAACCATAAAGAATATTACTTAGATTTTAAAATAACAACTACATTGATAGTTACAACTTCAATTACTTAAATTTTTATAGATATTTTTTCTAATTATTTCTTGTTGTCCTGCGCTTAACCCATTGGTCATGCTTCAATCCCTATAAAAAATTAACATTGAGATCTTCTTGTTATACATTGGATAGCGTTGCTTCATATCATCATCCACAATCCATTCATCATCTGATGGAACATCATTACAAAAAAAGAAGCTTTGTCATCCTTGAAAGCCTTTTTTTCAAATTTCAATCATTTAGTCACTTGTATATGATATAAACCAAGAAGTTCAATTTTGAGATACTCAAAGGATTTTTCTTTTTTGTTCCAACTTGGTTTTACATACTCCAATTTCACTCGTAACCAAAGGAAAAACAAGTAAGCTTTAATAATTTAATTAAAAAAATATAATTATAGCTTTGAAATGCCATTAATAACTGAATCCATTATACAACTAATTTTAGGAAAAAATTAAACTAAATTTGGGAAAATCCTTCCTTACTTCAATAAATAAAAAATTAAAAATGACTCATTATTCTCATAGTAGTTGGACTCATCTCCAAGATTTAAAGCTATTAACTCCCTAACCTCGTCCACACATTATAAATGAAACCCATAACTGCCTATTTCTCCAATGAATCAATGCTTATATTTTATGTAAAACAAACTTCTAAGACAAACTTCCTAACTTCTTTTCCATCGGCATTGTATGGAGGTGAACAAAACTTTCAAAGGTTGTCTTGCTTCCAACATGCTTCATAAGATCAAGCAGGCTACAGAAAAATTAGTTATAATAGATCGTCCGAGTTATTTTTATAAAAGTTTATCATCAAAATAAAAGCCAATAAATGGTTGTCGATAAACATTATTATCTTTTTTCTTTGCTCAAAGTACTCTTACACTGAGCAAGTCACCAAGTTTCTCTAAAATCAAATCTATCAAATGTATCACATATGTTGTCCAAGACATATGTATTCTCTTATTCGTCAACTATTTTTCCAACTACCTTATAAGTATTAACATTATATGTAACTAATGTGATGAGATGATCTCCAATTTCCCCCATGATTGTATTAAGTAATCCAAAAATATACCCTATGTCACTAACCTTATTTGATGCTTCAAAAGATTTTGAAAAAAGAGTTTCAGTTGCTGTTAATCAAAATATTGAGCAAGTTCCAATCCTTGATATCAAACCATCAAACAAAATTGTTACTTCAATTTGATTCTAAGTAATTCTAACCTCTCAATAACTTCTTTGGTGTTATTCAGCTCTATCAATACCCAAGTTCTCAAATAATATATAAATGGTGGTTTCAAGTCTCATCTACAAGAACATGTGGAACGAATCATGTGAAATAAGAAGGGAAAGTTGCCACATTAAATGAAATTGCATTTCTATAAAAGAACCATCTAAGATCCACACAAACACACCAGCATGCCGCTCTAGTACTTTCGGAAGACATTGATGAGTTATTTTTATAAAATTTTATCATCAAAACTTAAAGCCAATGAATGATTAAACTTTATTATCTTCTTTCCTTGTTCAAAGTACTCTTGCACTGAGCGAGTCACCAAGTTTCTCTAAAATCAAATCTAGCAAATGTATCACATATGTTGTCCAACCTATGTATTCTCTAATTCGTCAACTATTTTTCCAACTACCTTATAAGTATTAACATTATCGGTAACTAATATGATTAGATGCTCTCCAATTTCCCCCATGACTGCATTAAGTAATCCAAAAATATACCCTACGTCACTTACCTTATTTGATGCTTCAAAAGATTTTGAAAAAAAAGTTTCAGTTGTTGTTAATCAGAATATTGATCAAGTTCCTATCCTCAATATCAAACTATCAAACAAAATTGTTACTTCAATTTGATTCTATGTTATTATAACCTCTCAATAACTTCTTTGGTGCTATTCAGCTCTTTCAATACCCAAGTTCTCAAATAATAAATAAATGGTGATTTCAAGTCTCATCTATAAGAACATGTGGAACGAATCATGTGAAATAAGAAGGGAAGGTTACCACATTAAATGAAATTGCATTTCTATGAAAGAGCCATCTAAGATCTACATAAACACACCAGCATGCCGCTCTTGTACTTTCGGAAGACAATGTATGGGCTAGCATCTTACCATCGTCTCTATCCTCCTCCACAGTTACAATATATCTTTCAACTCTACATAAAATTGAGGCACAAAAAGATAACAAAAATTTGCCACTAACCCACTCTCATAATAAGAATCATCATCAATTTTATCATCAAATTATCGCTATATTAAATGCTTTGATATTATCGCCTTATTCATAAATGCATGGATTTCCACTCATCGCCTTAGGCATCTTGGCACACATACAAATTTCTTGTGAGAGACAAATAAGTGTTAGCTCAAGCTTGTAACAACCACTTCAACAAACTTTTCACAATAGTTGCAGTTCAGATAAACATGTGCCTTATTATTCTATAAAATATCACCATGCATGATATGCCTTCCATGTTGAGTGTTTATATCCATTATGGTTTTCTCCTTACCTCTAACGATTTCTAACAAAATCCTAGAATAAAAAATTTGATTAAAAAAAAAACTCAAAACAAACAGATGTTTAAATAAACACAAAAACATATATAAACAAAGTAAAAAAAAGTTATATTTAATAAAGAGAAAATGTTTATATCTTAGTAATTGTCATCAGTAGAAGAAATAGAACTTACCAAGGAAGCAACAAGAAAGACAACCACCAACATTTGTGAGAAGCAACAAAGAAATGCAAGGAGGACATTCGCTCGAGTAATGGCTATCACTAAGCATATGTGGTTTGTAGGAATTGTATGGATAAGTAGGAGTGTATTATTTAGGTTAATCTACTTATGTTTTCCTTCGGAAAAAAAAAATAAATCTAATTGTGCAAGCATCACCATAACTAAGTTGAGGCATATGATGAGGAGAGCACGCCTCATCATATGAAGATGGCCCTCACTTAAAACCTAATGAGGCATAAACCTCTTTGCAAATTTCCTATAAAGAAAACACAAAGATACACCTCTCATTTTCATAAATTTAAGCGATAACATGTATCATTTGCATGCAACTATTTTATTATCACAATTTGCTTCATTAAATACTTACATTGGAATTTTAATAAAGAGCCACTTTATTAACCAAAAATACTATCCGAGGCTTTATCAAGATCCATAATTATTAAATTGTGCTACAATCATTCTATTAGAAATTTCGCAAGTGGGTCAACTCATATAGAAACCTTAACAAAATCTCATTAAAAACATATGCAAAACAAAATAATGCAAAAAACATAAAAGATGACAGTTCATGAAACTTAATTTATAGCAGTTCATGAATGTATTTTTGAGGTGATTTTACACGCAAAATATGATTAGTATTTACAACCTAAATCTATGTTTGATGTTGTTCTATTTAAATCTACACCTAGATTAGATTATATTCATGAAAATGAAAATATATTTGCACTAGTGTCTAACATAGAGATTGGAATTGAAAAAAAAAAAAGCAAAAGTGGAATACCACAACATCATAAAATTTTGATGAAGATATAACTCGTACCTAGTTGTAAAATTGAAGCATTGGCATTTTAGAAATTTAAAAAGTAGTAGAAAAATGTAAACTTTAATGAATTGTTTGATTATATTATTCTTATAATAGACTATTGGATTGATGTTGATTTTATTTAGTGACAATTCAAAAACAAAACGTGATGAAGAAGCAATTACTAACATTAAATGCCTTAAGACAAATTTGAAATATACAACTCAATCAATTTGTAAATTTTAAAGGTGTGCAATTAATCAAAACTTATGTTTAAGCCATTTTAGTTAAGTCTATTTCCATGAGGCCCGTTCATATAATATAACTATATACTTAGTTTTTTTTGCAATTTTATTAGCATTCCAAATTTCAGGATTTAATTATGAGTCATTATTAGTAATCCTTAGGATGCACGTTAATCTTTTAACATTTTACTTCATATTTCATATCATTTTTAAAATATATTTATGATTTGAAGAAAAAATTCTCAAAGAATTTCACTATTAAATATAGCATTTACAAGATTTTTATTGATGTGAATAGTAGGTATGTATAAGTTATAACTACCAAGATAATCATGGGTTGTCTGTCTAAAAAAGCATTCATGAAATCTTCAAAAAAAAAATGATTTCAAGGAAAGCAAGATCATTTAGAATAGTGCAATTTATAGACACTACTGCTTACAAATTTAAAATTCCAATATAAATCAAATTTTCAACATACCTAATTTGATCTTAGTTCATACCAGTCAATCCATTCGATATGACACAATTTCCACCTTTTACTATTGAGTTCCCCTCCCATCCACTATCAAATACTTCTCAATAATTTGTTTAAAGGCTAGTTTAGATTATGGGATTATATCCACTTGTCATGGTGGATAATATAGATACCATGTTCACTGACTAGATAAGCTTCTATGAGATTATTCATGAATTAACTTGGATGAAGCAAATATTTATGTCACAAACTGCTTAATGAGTATCAAATGCTACATTTTGAAAATCGGATTTAATAAAACCAAATGGAACTGATGGAAATTTATGTTTGTTCAATAGAAGCATCATATTGAACATTGATATGAGCAAAACTTGTTTTCTTGTATTAGTTGCCTTCTATATATTTGTAATTTAATTATGTAAGAACAAACAAACATTGATGGTTGAGAGAGGATGTACTTTTCTAGCATGGTTTGGTATGATGATAGTTTTAATTCAATTTAATGGACTCGAATGTTTTCCAGTCAGATTGGGTTTTACCACAATAGGAAAATTCGGATGGTGTAAGCTTAAACTTATCCATTACTTTGAAGTTAATGGAGTTTGAGCAGTTGATGTTAGATTGAGCAGTTGATGTTAGAAATATATATTGTTTGGTTTTTTCTCTAGTTACCTAGAAAAAGGGGAGATGGTTTCCTAATGCTATGCTTTATGGTAATGGGGCTTTATGTCATTTAGTGCCAATGGTGCTTAAATCCCTACCAAGCAAGTGATTCAATGGGTTGGTATTTGTGTTTCCCAAAGCTTACAGGTCAGTCTTTGGCATGCAGTTACTATGCCTCTGTTTCTATGTGTTTTCTGTTTTAGAAAACAGAACCAACGTATGAGGGGATTTGTGATTGGTGATGTTATATTGATTTGATAATCTAAATATATTTAAATTTAGTTTACACTTCAAATGGGATTTGCCCTATGCCAACCATAAACACTAACCTAGGTTATGTTAAAGAAATACTCTTAGGCATGCAATTAACAATTTTTTAATTGAATAAAATTTCATTTCCAAGTTTCAATCTTAGAAGTGCAATTTAGTAGTGGGTTCTTTCAAGTTTGATACGACTACCTGAATATGGAGAAAGTTATCTCCTTGTATCGATGTAATGCCTATTTTTTTCTCTTCAAAACTTTGTTCATTGTGCTATTTCAACTACATAATTTTGATATTAAATTGTTTACTATGCTTGAATTTGATCAAAAGTTCCATACAAAAAATTTAAATTTATGGAAATTAAATTCATTTTATTTTATTTTATATGTTTTTGATTTCCAACTGCAATTTTCAGATTAATTTAATCATCTTATTATCAATTGAATTTAACGTAAAGTATTATTTGTTTTTCATTTAAAGAATGAGATGACTACTTAGTGAAATGACTGAATCTTCAATTTCCATTGCATGAAATTATAGTAGGCTTCATATTAATTACATTAGAAAACCTGACTGAGTTATCATGCATCCAGGTCTGATTGAGAAAACATACAAGATAAACGAAAGTTAGTTCGATAAATAAATACCAATACAAATACCTAGGAGACGTTAGGTTAAAGTTAAATCATTTCAAAAACATTGAACATAGTTACATTAGAGTTCCATGATGATATCCGAGGAGCAACTATAGAAGAATATGAATAACAAACATTATCAACAACATTAATTGAATGCTAACTTCTTCAAACTATCCCTGCAAAACAAATTGATTCACCGTGACTTTTCAAATAGGGAAAGGAAACTTACCATATCCATCAATGAAGGAGAGTTATGATATGGGTGCTGAGGACTAGAAGGGCAAAACGAAGGCATTTGCATAAAATATTTGTCTTTGAATTCTTTAGAAGAGGTGCAATGTTGAGAAGTTGATGTTCTAGGGTTTCTGCAAGAAATACAGAAAGTCCAAGAGAGATCTTAGAATGAGAATGAGGAAAGTACCATGGCCCATATTATGGCATATTTCACTGCAAATCAAAACAAAGCCATTGAGGCAACAGTAACATCAGTAGAGCAAGCAATGAGAAACACTAAATTGAAAAAGATGAGCGCAGTGATAATATTGCAAAATAAGGCACCATTAGGCATATGTGAAAAAGGTCAAACTCCATGCAGAATTCTATATTAATTAAGTGGGCATCTACAAAAGTTTCTTTTACTAAGGACACCAAAACTCTTAACTAAGAGACAAGGAATACATACATGCAGGCAAGGAAAATAATAACAAAGAAACAAAGCCATGCTTCATCAATGATGAAAGTTGTCAGAGCGTACGATGCTTCAAATATATACACAAAAAGGGATTATCACATCCAAACACGCATAGATTAGAAGAAATTACCAAATTAAACAGTACATCATTGTCAAAATAAACAAATTAAAAAAACTAATTAATTAGGAACACAATTGATTTGATTTATTTAATTCAGAATGTTACCCTAACATGCAAAGCCAAAGACAATTTCTACATAATTGCGTAAATCAAAACCATGAAAAAACACATAAGAAGCAATGTAAAGGTTAAAATGCAAAAATATATTATATATTGACCTAGATTCGCTAAACGAAAATTATCATAAGAGTACAGTTGTCCAGGAATTCTGCGGAATACGCAAATCCATTACTACGGAAGAAAAAATATCATAAATAAAACAATTCCCACAGCGAACAAGAAGATAGGGGTAAAAAACCATGCTCAACTAAAAGGAACTCCATATCTCGTCGCAAACTAATGCACAGAACGCCTATAGGAACAAACAAAAAAGAAAATATTTTATCACATCGATCCCATCTGCAGAAAAGGTACATATGTAATTAGATCCGCTTACAAACGTCGCAATCTAGAACTCAAGATCAAGAGACCGGACAAAAAAAACCCCGTCGCAAGAACGCCAGATCTAGCTACTTCGCGAGGAGATACAGCGCCGATGATACGAGATCGGATGATATCAAATCCGGCGACGGAATCGAGGGATCAATGAAAAGGAGGGACTTGCCGTTCGCTCGTTGCGTCCAGGAGTCGCAGCTATCGCCCGCCGCTGAAGTGCCCTAAATTCCACGAGTCACCGGGCTGTTTTACGGGCTCTTTGGCAAGAGAATAGAATTGTTAGTAACATTTAGGAATTAGGATGGTTTGATATTGACATTTAATTGGATTTTTGGATCAATTTAAAAAATTTAGCTAAACATAAAAATGTATGAATTTTATGAACATGGATTTTTATTTAGAATATTCTATCCTTCTTAAACCCAAATTAGAGGTGGGATTTATGATTTTCAGATTTAATTTATATTATTAACTCTAAATTCTACTTGCACCTAAACACCCTTATATCGTATAGATCTGAACTTACTAAATCCTTGAAAGGTTAAATCTCAAAAATTATTTAAGAGCGAAGTTAATAAATTCAGTAAAATCATATCATATTGTTTGAAAACCTCTGTCAGGATTTAAGAGATTTGTATGGTGGTTAGAATAAAAAAATCATAATTAAATTTTGATTATTTTATTATTATTATTATTTCAATTAAATTGAATTGAAATTTTATTTATTCTACTAATTAGTAATTAATTATTCACTAAATAAATTAATTATTTGGTGAGTAATAATTTAACAATAATCAATTATTAATAAATTTTTAATCATATTAATTAAAAATTACTTCATTTTTTTTAAAATAATATAAATTTTAAATTTTATTTTTATTCACTGATTAACTATTAAGTTATTACATATAAATTTATCTAATTATAATTAATTTAACAATTTTTGAATTAATTATTAATTATTCATCAGTTAAATTAATAAACTAAACTTCAATAAAAATAAATTATAACCACAACCCTATATCATCTTCCCCTCTAAAATCCTCGCCTCCAACACCCCCTTTTTAACCATGTGACATCCAATTTCAGTTACTGAGGGATAGGAAACAAAGAGCTGAAGAGAGAGGGAGGAAATGAAGAGTCGAATAGAGAGAAAAGAAAGCATGGGGGTTAAGAAACAAAGAATGTGAGACTTGCCCTAAAAATTTTCAAAAAACTTACCTGTATAGCCAAGTGGTTTGTCTGTGGTGAAGGAAGATGGGAGAATGAGTAGAAATCGAAAGAGGAGAAGAAGAAGAAGTTGAAGGAGGTGGAGACTCGTGCGTGCATTAAGAGTAACTGAGCCGGTTCGGGTTTAGCCCTAGTCAAAGAGGTAGTGATGTTGTGCTCGCATGCAAGAGGAGGAAGGAGGCGGTGGCGTTGAGGGTTTGGGTTGCTGGCTGTCAAGTCATGATTGAAGCCATCTGTGTGTGTGTGTGTGTGTGTGTGTGTGTGTGTGCGTTCCTTGGCATGTTGGTAGAGTTGCCTCTCTGAAGTTCACAAGTCCCCTCAGGCCACGGGTTCAATTACCCTCATGTGTAGGGTGTGGTACTCAAATATTTAACACCTAGAGATGGTCGGGGCTGGTCTAATAGCCTTTGGTCATTCCTTTTAATATATATATATACCAACATCAAACTAGTACTCGTACTTTCAATTTATAGTTATATTTTATTTTTCCCAACTATTTTGCATTAGTAGTTAATGATACTTATACAACAATTATTTTAATTGATTTATATAAATTAATGATACTTATACATAATTTATTTTAATATATATATATATACATATATAAGAGCGACTCATGGCTCCCTACATGTTGAAATAAAAAAGGATATTACAAAATTGGGAGAAAAAGAGGATCCCAAATCCTAGGGGTTCCTTTATCCTCCATACAACTCCACACAAAAAAGATAAGGAAAAAATATCTCCAAAATTACATGTATCCAAACCAATAGTATACCAAACAGAAAAAAAATACTCCAAAACCACTCCACAGTGCCAATGGTTCTCCTCTCTGTTAGCTTCATATCATTAATGTGGGAATCAGGTTATAACTCTTAGATGGGGAGCATGTAAAGCATCTCCCACCAGCAAAAATTGAAGAGGGGGGAGGGGGTGGAGAATACAAAACAAGACTCTCAAATGAGGACAGACCATTCCTGGCAAACCAATTGGCAGATTTGTTCCCTTCCCTGTAAATGAAAGACATTTGAACCTTTAGACCAGACGGCATGGAAAGGATCTTCTTAACCCATTGTACATGGCACCAAGAGGATTGCCTTCCATCTTGCAGCATCTGTAGAAGAACCTCAGAGTCCCCCTCAAGAAGTAAACTATGTCAGTGATTCATCTTAGCAAGAGTAATGACCCAATACACAACAATTAGTTCAGCTACTAAAACATCAACAGCACAAACAGGGACCTGGAAAAACAGTATGCAGTGTCCAGGATGGTTCCTGAACACCCCCCCCCCCCCCCCCCCCCCCCCCCCCCCCCCCCCCCCCCCCCCCCCCCCCCCCCCCC